CTTGTGTGAAATACTTGCTACATTCACTCCCTCCCTTCACAGTAAACCCACAGTTGTATAACTCATGATATACACTGGCCTGATTTCCTATGTAAACCTTTCACCTGACCTTCCTTATTTGTGTAAAATCTCTCGTACAGGTTCCCTTCTTTCCACTTTGCAGTTCATTTTGCAAATATAGTAAAAATGTGTCATATGTTAGTAACGTGGAATTTACAGTAAATTCCATAAATTTTTACTAGTAACTATTGGTCTCACCCAACAAGGTGAAGTTAGAAACTCTCTTCAGGATTGCCTCTCCGTATACGTCTGGCAGCCTGGTATCGTGAAGGTACTTTCACTGTCTGAGACCCCATAATGATAGATTGAATTGAATTGAATTGAATTTAAACAGTTTATTTTGCCAGAAAAACACAGATACAGAGTGGATAATAATAACAATATTAACATGGCTGAGCCAGTTGAGAACCAGAGCTCTCTTTTAGGCACCTGATATATTCTATACATTTATCTCAAGGAAGTATTATGTAATATTTAGTATCATCTGGAATAGTACAATAGCATGGTGGCAATAAGAACATCTCATAATGTTACCACGGTTATCACTTCCATATTTATTAATTTTATTTATTTATTATTTTTTAAGTTTATATATTGTTACGAACCCCGCCACCAATTGTCATGATCTACTTACCCAGCACTACGAACCACGCCATCTATTGTCCTGATCTACCTACCCGGCACCACGAGCAACGCCATCTAGGGACGAAACACGAGTATGACTTGTCTTAGTTACCACTCCGGGGTTTCCCTTCTCCATATCCTGGTTGTTGCGTCACCTCCTACAAGTCTTCTTCGTCAGCTCCAGTTCGATGAGAGTTCAGTTCACTCTGGGAAGTGACCACAGGATCACCTATCCTGGAAACCTACGGCACAGTGACTACCTACCGTCTTCTACAATACTCAGCCTTGCTCGTCAGCCATCTCAGCTCTGCACTTCTTGTATTGCCTCCCCACGTCCACCTTGCTTCAAATTATTTTATGTTGTACAAATTTGTATATACTGTTAATGTTTAGGTTAAGTATGGTTAAGGGTAAATTACAGAAAGATGAATATTTTGTTAAGGAATTTATGGTACTTCATTATACACAACAAAAACTCGCATCCTTTGTCTACCCTTTTATAGTCCGATTGTCTTTGTTTTTTTATTGTTGTTGCCTGTTGGGATCTGGGTAGACTCTTAACTATATTCTAAATCCCCAACTCGTAACAAATGGCGACCGTGACAGGACACGACCTTAAGTACCATATTCCTTCCTCCCTTGTAACTCCTTGTTAATTATTCCTCCCAGTCACTTCTGTTCACAATTGCTTTGGTGGTTTAAAGTTTCCTTCATATGTGTGTGCATATATTGGTATTATCGTACAGTAAGAGTGACAGACGTAGGATATTAGGTTCCAAGTGTCATAAGGCTTACCTGTTATTACACGTGGCAGTCGTGTAGTAAGTCTTATCGAGTGTAGGGAAGAATCCGGATCTGTTTAATGCCGTACCCTCACTCCAGAGTAGGCTGTGCCAAATTTATCAGTACGGTGGACTTATTGAAAGGATATTATCAAGTGGGACTCACGGATAGTGCAAAAATAATCTCAGCATTTATAACTCCATTTGGTCTTTTTCAATATTTGGTTATGGCGTTTGGCTTTTCTAATGCTCCGGCCACATTCCAGAGGGCAATCAATTACCTAATTCAGGACCTAGGTGGGACGTTCGCCTACCTGGATGACCTGGTGGTGGTGTCGGACGGCCGGGACGAACATCTGGTGCGTTTGGAGATACTGTTGGCACGACTGCAAGAAACTGGATTCACCATAAACCTGGCTAAATCTGCTTTTGGCCGGGCCTCAGTGACTTACCTGGGACATATCGTTGGGCATGGTATGGTGAGACCCAAGGATGCAAACGTTAAAGCCATCTTGTCCTTCCCCACTCCAAGGACGAGGAAGGAACTCATGTGCTTCCTGGGGATGTGCGGCTACTACCGTCGGTTATGCAGTAACTTCTCCAGCGTGGCCGGACCCCTCACAGACCTAACCAGTTCTGCGGTCCCTTACATCCGGAACCAGAGGTGCAACCAGTCTTTCCACCGCCTCAAAGCCTTCCTTGCCTCCAAGCCTGTAGTCCACCCCCCTGACTACACCTTGCCCTTCCATCTGCAAATCGACGCTAGCGGTGTCGGAGTGGGGGCTGCGCTCCTACAACCCGACCCAACCACTGATGTCCTTCACCCTGTGGCATACTACTCCGCCAAGTTGAAAAAACATCAGACCAACTACTCGACCATAGAGAAGGAGGCCCTGGCTCTGGTGTTGGCAATAAAGAAGTTTGAATGTTACCTCCAGTCTTGCCCACAAACAACCCCAGTCTTCACCAACCATAACCCACTCACGTTCATCCAAACCAACAAGACCTCCAACCAGCGAATCCTCCGCTGGGCTCTCCTCACCCAGCCCTGTAATCTACAAGTCCGGCACATAAAGGGGGTGGACAACCTGATTGCGGACTCCTTATCCCGAGCTCCAGTGGAAATGCAGCAGCTACTCTCCAGACGCACCAGGTGATCACCTCCTTCGCGCCGGCGCTACGGAGGTCTTTGGAGGGGG